AGTCGATTGACTACCGTAGTGTACACGTATTGCCAGCACTGGCTTATCCCACATAGGAATATCTTCCAGAAAATTCCGAAACCATTCTGCTTTATGTGCAGCCTTATCTAAAGCTATGAACACAGATTCCATGGTTGATCTGGCCAACGGAGTTTGTTTGGAAGATTTCCAAGACATAGCTGCACCACCTAGCGTAAAGACGTATCCACTTGTGGATTTAGAGTTTTTTAGAATCGGAAATCCAGTTTCCATCATTGTATCCTTCCAAAACTCCAGGTTCTTTACCGTAGTGCAGCCCATAACTTTTAGTATGACGTACATAGTCCAATACTCTCGTTATGGATTTCCAGTGTTTATGTCCTGGATTACTCGTATAGCGACGACATTGACTGCGTGCGCTAGATAGGGTCTAGTACAATTTGTTAAGTACATCAGACTTCCGATTACACGTGCTACTCCACTTGTAACACTGATTCACCTGTATTTTTTGTCAAGTGAATACTAGTGTCTACTGGAGTTTTTGTTGTTCCTTTGGAGTAGATATTGAACTTCTCAAGTATCTTTTCAGCATAATGAGTTTGAGATAGGGAATTCCATCGGAAGTTCTAGTGATCTTAATTCCTAAAATAACAACCGCTAGGCCCATGTCTTTCATATCAAACTTGCTACTTAGCATGTTCTTAGTTTGACCGATCACATCTTTATTGCTTCCAATAATGAGCATGTCCTCAATGTACAAACAAAGCAAAACGTATCCATGAGGACTACTTTTGATGTATATACACTTATCACATTCATTAATGCTGAAACCATTTGACATCATTACATTGTCAAATTTTTCATGCCATTGCTTTGGAGCTTGTTTAAGTACATACAGTGACTTCACAAGTTGACAGACTTTGTGTTCTTGTCATGGGACAACAAACCCTTCAGGTTGTTTCATATAAATCTCCTCTTCTAAATCACCATTTAGAAAGGCAGTTTTAACATCTATTTGATGGATTTCTAGATCTCTCAATGCTGCGATGCTAACCAGTAATCGGATTCAAGTTATTCTCGTTACTGGAGAATATGTGTCAAAAAAATCCAAGCCTTTTTTTTGCCGGAAACCTTGCACCACAAGTCTAGTCTTGTATTTATCGATTGAGCCATCGGTTTTCAATTTTGTTTTGAAAATCCATTTACACCCTAGGGCTTTAAACCCTTGTGGTAGATCAGTTATCTCAAATGTATTGTTTTGCATAATTGAGTTGATCTTACCATTGGCGGCTTCTTTCCAGAAAGATGCATCGGGTGTAGACATGGTCTCAGTGAAACTTCTTGGTTTATTTTCTAAAAGAAAGACCATTAAGAAATCTTCACCAAAATATTTTTCCTTACGAGCTCTTTTGTTACGTCTAGGTTCATCTTCAACCTCTTCCGCATCATCAAACGATGTGCTAGAAGTACTTGCCTCATTTCCAGAGGTGATTGCATCACTTTCTTCACGAGTTCGTTTTGGATGTTGTTTATCCTTACACGGAAACAACTGCTCAAGGAAAGATGCATTCATTGATTCCATAGTTGTATTAACATGGATATCTGGTATGTCTGATTTATGAATCAGAAACCGATAAGCATCGCTGTTATGTGTATAACTGATGAAAATACAATTCACGGTGGTAGGCCCAATTGTGATCTTTTTAGAAGGTGGCACTGCGACCTTTGTCAGGCACCCCCACACTTTCAGGTATTTGTATGAAGGTACATTACCTTTCCAAAGTTCATATGGCGTTTTGCCAGTAACTTTGTGTGGAATTTACTGGCAAGGCTTTAAAGGAAAAATTTGAAGGAAGAATTAAATCCGATTAAACGAATATATAACTTTGATCCTTAACAATTAATTCTGGAAAAAATTATCGAAATGACCAGAACTGATACCAAAATATGAAAACACCGTGATCATAGTTTTTTTTTTAAGATCACAAAACGTTTTGACACTAATCTGTTAGCATTTAAAATTCAGAAAATTTAGAAAATTTACGAAATAATGAAATTAACGTGATAAGGGGAAACCAAATCAAAATATTTCGATAGAAATCAGATTATAATATTCTAAACACATAAATAATAACCAATCAATAAATGTATAATTCAGATTGAACACTAATCCAAACTGAATAAATAATCACCAAGAACACTTGTTCTTATCAACACTTAACAAATGATCATTATAATATTATAATGTTATCTAATGTCAAAATCGGAGTTGATATGAATGAGAAATGGAGGTTCATAGTGTATTTCTTGTAAAGTAAAAAATGTAACATTTTTATGTCCTACTTGGAAATATAAAGTTATACACTTAACTGTATTAGAGAAAGGAAATATTTGAGTTAGACTCATGTTACGGGCCTCAGAATGTGGTAAATGGGTTAACAATCCATAAATCCATTTTGTGTTCTAAATTATTTTTTATGTATTAAATACATATATTTTTTTGAATTTTTATGTTTTAAATTGCTGGTCAACCAAGCATTTTATTTCATAACTCATATTAATTCTCTTTTATTCACAATTGACTAATAATTAATTTGAACAATGTAACCTCCATATCTTTCAATAATTGCTTGGATTTATTTGGCAATATTGTGAGACTATAAAAGAGGCTTGTGCCTTCTCATTCTAAAACACATGGGACACCAATCAAAACATACAATCTCCTACTTCTTCTTTTTTTTCTTGTTATGTCTTAGAGTACAACATATTATTAGGTTCGTCAGATTCTATTTTTGAATACTGCAAAATAGTCTATCGTGTGATTGTATCATGGGATTCTGATTGCATAATACCGTCACACTACATGCAATTAAAGAATTAAGACTGTAAGACCATGATTTATACGATATGGCAAAACTGAACATATGTTTATATATTGATAAAAATAGAATTAAAAATACAATGGTTAATACCGCTTATTGATGAACCATGAGGGATTTGTGTAGAGGCGAGACACTCTTTCCTTAGTTCTTTAAATACCCATGGTGTGACAGTATTATGCAATCATAATCTCAGGATATAATCACACGATAGACTATTTTGCAGGACTCAAAAATAGAATCTGACCAATAATATGTTGTACTCTCAGACACAACAAGAAAAAAAGAAGAAGTAGGAGATTGTATGTTTTGATTGGTGTTCAATGTGTTTTAAAATAAGAAAGCATAAGCCTCTTTTATAGTCTCACAATATTGCCAAATAAATCCAAGCAATTATTGAAAGATATGGAGGTTACATTGTTCAAGTTGATTATTAGTCAATGGTGAATAAAGGAGAATTAATATGAGTTATAAAATAAAATGCTTGATTGAGCAGCAATTTAAAACATAAAAAAAAAAAAAATTTAGAACACAAAATGGATTTATGGTTTGTTAGCCCATTTACCACATTCTGAGGGCCATAACATGAGTCCAACTCGGATATCTCCATTCTCTAATACACTTAAGTGTATCAACTTTATATTTCTAAGTGGGACATAAAATGTTACATTTAAAACTTTACAAGCAACCCACTATTGACCTCCATTTCTCATTCAGATCAACTCTGATTTTTACATTAGATAACATTATAATATAATGCTAACGGCTACGATTTCATCATACCTAACATTCGGTTATTCTGACGAACGTCTTCGCCGAAAACTCACTGGAAATGGTCTAAAATCATTTAGTCAAAAACGAGTTCCAACAATTTGTGTAGTGCAAAATTGTGACTAGATCTATAGAGGAGAAGTCACGTTGTGGGTTGTACAATGATCCTATCGAGCTACTATGTGGTAAGGTGATTCATATGCCCAAATCCTTGTAACTTGATGGATAATTTAGTGGTAGAGCTTTGAGATGGAATATATTAAATTTCTTAGTTGTGTTTTGATATAATACTGAGAACTAAGGAAAAGTTTGCGCGTTGCGCAAGTTATGTAATATTTAAAATATTTTAATTATATAATTTATTGTGTTATATTTGTTAGTAAATGTTATAGGTAAATAATAATTTTTAAATTGTTAATACATCTATTTTAAAAATAAATTGTATAAAAATAAGAAAAATTATAATATCTATAGAAAAATAAGATTTGATTCTTTTATACAATATGGTAAAATTTCTATTAGTGTTTAATCTAAAATAAATATGTCTTTCCAATAATAAATACTGAAAATGTAGCACTGTCGGTAAGGAAAACTTCTTTTACAGTTTATGTATTTTCTGTGTGTCTGCTAGGTATATTTTGGCTCATAATTTTGAGAAAAACTTATTGTATTTGTTAAAGGACTTTGAAAATATTTGAGTCTTGAGTGGTGGTGTGATTGAGTGGTGGTGTGAAGTAACAGTTGCTTCTATGGAGGCGTTGATATAGATACTATATGTAGTTAATTATTGCAAATATACTAATTAGTTAAACCCGATTTTGTTTATTGGCAACTTGTGTGTTTCGTTGTCAATTTCGTCTTTTGTGCGTTTTCTAAAGGCAATTGGCGTTATGGCCTCGTTTGTTTAAATTGGATTCATTATACAATACATTAAGGGTAATCTGGTTCTAAATTTCTTTTTATTTGGCTATTTTGATTTTACTTATAATATTCTCGTAGATAGGGAAGTAATTTGTTTCAAATATGTTGTACATAATAGTTCATTATTTCTAATAAAACAGATCTGAATGAAATTCGAATGACTGAAAGTGAAGCTTTCTAGTTATTCACTTTGCCTTCGTTTACTCGATCATATGGCTTAATTGATGCCTTGTAGAATGTGTCATTGTTCTCTTCTGTAATGTATTATAGCTTATTTGAAAAATGAATTGAGCTTGTGAGTTGGAAACTAATAAGAGAATGGTAGGAAGATCATTGAAATGCAAAGTGTTGTTGACTAAAGTATTTCATCATAGAGGGATATCAACTCACTTTCATAACTAATCCATAAGAAAACTCAAATTGAAAACAAAAAATATGAGTAGAGGAAGATTAAGTGCTCGACGAGCCCCTTAGTAGCAAAGTGGTCGCGGTCATCCACTATGATGATCACCTGATATAATTTCTCAAACGCTTCTCCAAATGTAAGAGGAGTAGGGTATGAAATATTTGCAACTCCTTTGGTTCCTTCTGAAGGTAACTTTGTAACCATGAAACAATGAAGAACAGACAAAGCTGATTAGCAAACCATTTGCTGCTGATCGCAAAAGAGTAATTTACTTACATAAGATGAGCAGACTTTCAAAGCATGAGTCAAACCTGATGTGATTGTTCACGCTGAACCAGTCTTATCCCATTTTCCTAGTAAAGTTTGTCAATGAAAAAGTCAATCAAGATCTCTGGTATACAATCCTCAAAGAATCTAAGCATTAACACTATCATAGGTAAACAAATTCATACTCACGCTGGATAACTAGAAATCTCTACAGCAGGATAAAGCTTGTTAGTCATTTTGGTTTGCAACACTTAACAGTGTATGCGACACACAAGGGTTGCTCCAATTCTTTATCAGAAACATATTCTGCAAAAAAAAAAGTTTGATGGATAAATAACCACAGAGTTAAAAACACAAAGAACAAGAGAAAACATCGATGGGAGTTCCTTGAAAGGGACACATTAAAGAAAAGCCAAAACGAAATATCTTTTGAACGAACTAAACTCAACTATGAAGAAAACAAATCAAGCTTTCTGAACAATAACACAAATGCAGATATAAGTAGTAGGGAGAAAACACAACAACTTACAGGGACAATAAAATCAAAAATTCTTTGTAAGCGATTCAAAGGCAATTCAATTGGATTGGTATCACCTTACCATCCAAGCTTTTCATTGCCTTTCAGGCATCATCCTCAAAGTAGAAAGTGATGATGCAGAAAACTTTGACTTGTTGCGTTTTAGGTGGTGGAGCTCTGTATTGCCGATCGTGCAGTCCTTCATACGGAGAATTCTCTTGTGGCTCGATTCACTAAAACTATGATCTTCTCCTCAGCCACCATCTCCACATCGTCGGCAAGGTTCAGATCCCCAAAAAATCCATAAAATCTCCAAATATGAGCTTAATTGAGAAACTGGATCTGTGAAGGGGTGAGCTCTATCAGCGGAGAAGCTATGTCTATGAAGGGGGAAACTCAATCAGAGGAGAACCTCTCATTGCATCCCCATGTTTTTGCTCAGACCTCAAGAAACTCACTCCCAAAGCAGCAACCCAGGTATTAGATTTGTCTTCATTTTTGGATTGGAGAACTCGTCGTCGGATGGCTAATTGTGAACAATTTTTTTGATTTTGGATAGTTTTTTTTTTTTAATGTGTGAAGTAAGATTAGCCACATAAGTACACCCGACTGATTTTAGGAGTACACTTGTCAGCGTGTCAAAAGTATTTCTAAAAAACAACTTTAAGATTAGTCACATAAGTACACATGGCTGATTCTAAGAGGACACATGCCAACGTTGTGAATGTGTTTCTAAAAAACAACCTTAAAATATTAGCATAGATCACTTCTCATATCTTATTAACAAACATTTATCAAAGTGGCAAAGCTTGGCGAAAATAGTGAATTATGGTAGAGATGAAGAGGTGGAATATATGATTGACTCTCTCAGCTTGTAGATTTTGATTGACTCTCTCAATCCTTGAAGAACTATACTTATTTGAATCACACAAATAATCTTAGTACTATAGTCTCAAGTATCAAATGAATCTCTTAAATAAAACTTAACGATACCAATTTAAACAACAAAACTCTTTAAATAAAAAAAATTATATTTCTTAGATGATTAAAAGGTAAATAAAAATGAAAAGAGTGAAGATCTTATATAGTGGCTCGGTTACATGATCACCAACGGTCCTAAATATCTAAATTACAAGAAATTAAATCATATGAATCGAAGATATTAAGCTAAAGGAAAGAAACTATCCATTTGAGACTTTAATGGCTCGGCCAAATGTGGGCAACTGATTTGAACGCCATGTATCTTGAGATCCATGTCTTAATAGCCAGTATAGCGTTTGCGGTTGCGGACGATTGCAGCTAAACAATTAAAAAATTAAAAATTAAAATATATATAACATTTTTTTCTTAAAATAAGTTTTAAATATTATAATTAAAAATATATAAATAAATTTAATACTTTTGTAGTAATATTAACTAAGTATTTTTATGATTTAATTAATATGTATTAATTATTAATCATAAATTTATATTTATAAGATTTTTAAACCAAAAAAGAACCGTTCAGTTGTGCTGTGCAGTTCAATGTCTGACCTAGTCGTGTAGTTAACTCTGAAACATGTCTACCTACTTGTAGGATCAATAACTTCCAAGTCTAAACTGGTATTATTATGAATTTAATTCGAAGAGCTTCTCTGTTAGACCAAGATTTCATAACAATCTGGTTTGTAGCTTAGTTCCTCTTGGTCCGATCGAAATCCTTTATTCAATGTGCGTATGTCCAATTCGATTAGGCTCAAGATCACCGGTTTTGTAAGTTGAATAATATTGTCATCAGAATCATGATTGGGCTGATTCAAATTTTGTCGTGAATTCATGTTGAGTCAAATTCTAGAACAGGTTGATTTGTTATTTAACTTCTTCTAGTTGGCTAGATATACTTTATCAAATGTATATGTGTCCTGATCAGACTTTTGGTGGCTGGAGTAATATGTTTGGTGGAGTTCTGGTTCAACTATTGATTTGATGATCGCATCATATTTTATAACTGATTTTTAAGAGCATGGTTCTATTCCATTGAAGAGATGGACTGAGATCTGGTGGTTGTTTATGAGAGTTATGTTTGAATGTTCATGAAATTACTTATTTTTGTATTCTTGAAAGTTGTTAATAAACTCTAAAATATGGGAATCGACCATGGTGAATCAGATTGAAGTTTCTGAAAATTAAATTTTAGATATTTTGATATACAAACTATGATTAATATTTGGTCAATCAGATTAAAATTTTCATTTGGTTGTTCATGTATGAATTTACACAACTATTTGGTGGTATTTTCAAAGCTAGCCACTTGCCCTAGGCAAAAAAATCTGGATACGAAGAATCGGATTAAAATTGATCTGAAATACGAAGTTTGGATTTAATCGTCTAGCCCAATATAACTGAACCGACCCATGAATCCGAACGTCCAGGGCGACTAGCCACTGTTGTTTTCCACGGCTTATTTTTATTAAACTCAAAAAAAGAAAATAATATCCTCTCATTATTTTCTCGCTTAAGATAGTAAAGTATTCCTCCACAGAGGCATGAACAGCCTTTCCCTCCATTTACTCATACCGACGGCTATTCACCTCAGGTCCTCACGCGCCGCCTCACCGTCCTTTCCTCGCGTCTCCTCTCCAACCGTTCTTCGAGTCGCTACTCCGTCTGCTTCACGCACCACCTCCTCAGAAGACTCACAGTCAATCGAAAACCAAACTCTACAGGTCCTAGAATGGCGCGCTCTCTGCGATCAGCTCTCTCCCTTCGCCTCCACATCAATGGGCAACTCGGCCACCAAAAACGCCGATATTCCGGTGGGAAAATCGCCGGAAGAGAGCAGAACCCTCCTTGACGAGACGGTGGCTGCTTTGGCCGCCATGGAGGTGATGGAATCGCGGCGATTTGGTCTTTCTGAGATCCTTGACTTGTCTGATATCGTGGAGCGTGCTATAGCTGGTCAATTGCTTACCGTTAGAGAGCTCTGCGCCGTTCGAAGCACGTTAATGGCGGCTTCTTCAGTGTTTAAGAAACTAAAAAGAGCAGCTAATAGTGATAAGCGGTATTATAGTCTTATCCTCTGATTTTTCATGCTTTGTGTTTTGCTTATGATTCTTTGGATTAGATTGTCTATCTTATTTTCCAAATGAACAACGAATCTTCAATGAGAATCTGCTAATAATGTGAACATTGTGATGGATTATCTGCAAAACACACAATATGAAACTTTTAAGGCTTTTTGAAAATTGCTAATGAATCCAGTTTTACTAGACTTTCCATATAGAGTTTATATGATGTTCTTATTGCTATTTGTAGATAGTTCCTGTACGAATATATCTCATAGCTTGATTGTCTGTGAAGAGAATGTGTTCATAGTTTGTGAGAACCTCATGGGTCAAGCTTTTACTTTTCTCATCTTTGTAGGGTTGCTCCACTTGTAGATATACTTCAAGGGTGTGATTTCAAGACTACATTGGAGCAGAAGATTTGTTTTTGTATAGACTGCAAAATGTCTATGATTCTTGACAGAGCTAGCGAAGATCTCGAGATCATAAGATCAGAACGGATGAGAAACATGGAGAACCTGCATTCTCTATTGAAAGAAGTGTCAAATAAGATTTTTCAGGCTGGGGGAATCGATAAGCCGTTGGTAACGAAGCGAAGATCAAGGATGTGCGTAGCCATTAGAGCTACACACAAAAGTTTGCTCCCAGGTGGTGTTGTTCTAAGTGTTAGTAGCTCAAGGGCAACATGCTTTATGGAACCAAAAGAGGCAGTAGAGCTTAATAACATGGAAGTGAGGCACGCAAACTCCGAGAGAGCCGAGGAAACGGCGATTCTGAGCATCTTAACATCTGAAGTGTCGATGGCACAGAGAGGGATATTGCATTTGTTGGATAGGATACTAGAACTTGACATTGCTTTTGCAAGAGCATCACATGCGAAATGGATGAATGGCGTCTATCCCAGATTAACTTCAGAACACCCTAACACACTTCTTGACAATAAATCTTTAGCTGTAGATATTGATTCTGCGCAGCACCCGCTACTTCTTGGATCCGTTCTAGGTAGCCCAAATGGTGGAAACACTTTACCTGTTCCAATAGATATTAAAATTGAGAGCAGAAGCAAAGTAGTCGTCATCTCGGGTCCGAACACAGGAGGAAAGACCGCTTTGTTAAAGACATTGGGATTAATCTCTCTTATGTCGAAATCGGGGATGTTCTTGCCTGCTAAGAATTGCCCGAGGTTGCCTTGGTTTGATCTTATTCTGGCTGACATCGGTGATCCCCAGGTATTATCTTGATTTCTTGATTACCTTGATTTCTACTTCTGATTTCTTGCGAAGCTTCTTTGTTCAATGTTCTCTTTTTTTTTTGTGTGCAGTCTTTGGAGCAAAGTCTCTCAACTTTCAGTGGCCACATCTCAAGGATATGTCAGATACTTGACATTGCTTCAGAGAATTCACTTGTCCTACTTGACGAAATCTGTAGTGGAACAGATCCTTCAGAAGGTGTTGCACTCGCTACTAGCATTCTAAAGTATATCAAAACTCGTGTTAAGGTGGCTGTTGTATCCACACATTACGGTGACTTAAGTCGTTTGAAAGACATCGAGACTCAATTCCAAAACGCTGCGATGGAGTTCTCCATGGAAACTTTGCAGCCTACATTCCGAGTACTGTGGGGAAGCACCGGTGAGTCAAATGCATTGAGAGTAGCTAAGTCGATCGGTTTCAATGGAAGAATACTTGAGCGTGCGCATAAATGGACGGAGAAGTTAAAGCCGGAGATGGACGTAGAGCGGAAAGGCTCTCTCTTTCAGTCTCTTGTGGAAGAAAGGAATAAGCTAAATCTTCAGGCGACCAAGACTGCAGCTTTTTATACGGACTTAATGAGCCTTTATCGTGAGGTATTTTGCTTCTGTTCTCTTTCGATTTTGCATGTTTGACTAGGCTTGCGGGTTAGGTTTATCCGGGTATATCGGTTAGTTGGGTAGTTCGGTTATTAAGTTTCGGTTCGGTTTGGAAACTTCGGTGATCTCTATTCATGTCAGAAATCCATTCTTCCTTGATGAGATGAATCACGTTGTTTAATACCCTTGTGGAAGTAATGACGTAATGAGGAAATGGTTTTCTAAATAGTCATGTTATGTAATCGAAATATCACTTTAGATTTTAACTTTTTGGTGGTGGAGATTTGATCTTTCAATCTCTTTTTATAGGTCTAATTAGATGGTTATTGCTCTTTCTTCTCCAATTTCATTTAATCCATATCTATATTTCCACAGTGTAAATAGCATTTACGAATTTCGTTGTATTGATATTATTCATCTCTTGTAATATCTGTTTCTGTCCTGAATTTTCTTCCCTATGTTATCCTGAAGCTTGAGCGTGAGTCTCGTGATCTTGAGAAACGTGAGAAGGCTCTTCTGAAGAAAGAAACTCATAAGGTACAAGAAGATCTAAGCTCTGCTAAGTCAAAGATGCAGAAACTAGTGGCTGAATTCGAAAGTCAGCTAGAAATCTCTCAGGTTGATCAACACAACTCCTTAATTCTGAAAACCGGAGAGGCAGTTGCAGAGATTATTGAATCTTGCTGTCCTAGCGATCTTGTATTAACGGAAGAAGAGTATAGCGACTACTCGCCGCGAGCAGGTGAAAAGGTTCTTGTGACTGGACTTGGAAGTAAATTAGGTACAGTGGTTGAAGAACCTGGAGATGATGAGACAGTTTTAGTCCAGCATGGTAAGATAAGAGTACGCATAAAGAGAAAGGACATAAAGCCCCTTCCTCGTAACAGAATCAGTGAAACACCTAATCGTTCAAAGAGACAGGTACACATCTTTTTTCTGATTTTAAGACTTTCAGGTCTTATTTTTGAGGTATCTCATTTGTTATCTCACAATATATATGCCTAGCTTGAAGGAAATTGAAAATAATACATTATGCCCCACTTAGTAATAGAAACCATCCCAAATAGTTAATCCAATATGCCCCACTTAGTAATAAAGTTGAAAGTTTATACTTCGTAATCTGAAACGAGCTCAAATCTCCCTAGTTGGACTACAATATGAAGATTTGTGATCGATAGTATTATTGTCTGGGCATTCTGACAAGTGACAAATCCTGGTCCAACAACACCGTTCGGGTTCCGTTCGGTTTTTGGATTTTGGTAGTTCGGTTAAGGAGCCGTTCGGGAATTTATTGAAAATCGCTTCGGTTTTTATTCAGTTATCATTCATTTTGGTTCGGTACGAATATTTATGCTGAGAACGGGCAGATACGCAACGGGTCTGGTTCAGTTTGGTTATTTTGTATCCTTTTTTTTTTTTGAACAACTGGTTATTTTGTATCCAAACTACTAGAATCTATCGTAAGTGTCCGAATTACCCTAAATTGATTCGACATATAAAAAAAAAACAGATTTAATTTTAATGAAATATCTGTTTAAGTTTGACAACTGTAACTAATGACATACATGTATGTCGGTTATTTTGGGTATTTTGGTTGTTTCATTTTAAAAAATAATTAATATTTTGGGTTATAACAGTAGGTTTGGATATCTTGGCTAATTCAAATATAAATATAACTAATATTTTTAATATCTCCTATATATTAAAAGAGAAACATTTTGAAAAAATAACTTTAATTTTGTAAAATATTACAATGGTGACAGTTTGCTTATGTGTCATCACCAGAATTATTTTTAGCAAAGTTATAAAAATAGACTTATGTTACTAGATTAATTACATGTTATGCCATTCATATTAATTTGGTTATACAATAGTTTATATCAATTATATTGATGATGATTCATCAAGATATTTTTTTTTTTTTTTTTTTACCAAAAAATATTATATTAATTCTTTCTTTAAATAATATATTTTATCTTTTATTTTTGTAGAAAAATAAACCATCACATCATTCATATAGTAAAATAATATATATATATATAGTGTTATAATTCAAATTTCATAAAGAAATATAAATTACTCAATAATTAATAAATAAAAGTATGTTTTGAAAGACTAAAATTGAAAATAAGAATATGTAGATAGATGATTCATAAGTTAATATAAAAAATACATAGATGATAAAAAAAAACAGAAAGCTTAATTTAATAGATATTATTATTATAATTATTTTTGGTTTCATATGGTTTTAGAACCATATAAATTAACCAAATAATATAAATATTTAAAATTTATAATAAGTATAAAATATTAATAAAGAGTTCAACTATAAAAAAGTAGTTGAATATGTTAATAGAATATAATATTATAAATATTTTATTTGATTAAAAAGTTAAATATCATAAATTTTTAATTTATACAACAAAATAACTTGGTAAAAAATTAAAATATTTTTGTAAGGATATTATATAATAATTTTATTAAACTTTTTGATATTAAAAATATTTTTATTGAATCAAAAAGTTAAGAATGTATAAGTATTAACTCATTTATATACAATTTTAGATAATTTATTAAAATAATAAAAATATAATCTAGTTTTATATAATTTTTATGTATATTTAGTATTTAAAATAAATTTCACAGTAATTTTCTTTTCTTAAAAGTTAATATTCTTATGACTGTGGTTTTGCCGGATTAATCTAAATATGCATTTACACTTGTAAAAAAAAATATTAAAATCGATTATAGAATCTTATAATCAAATTTTATTTTTACAATTTTAATACTCTCTATTTTAAAATATAAATTGTTTTGCATCAAATCACAAAGATTAAAAGTAACTTTTTTTAAAAAAAAGTAATCATTTAGTATATAAATTAAATATAATTCAACTAATTATGAAAAACTGAAAAATATAATCTGTCACATAGTATTCATAGGAAGTAGTAAAAAAATGAAAACAAATATATTGTGAAACAAAATAAAACCTTAAAAAAAATTATGAAACAGAGGAAGTAGTAATTTTTTATTATTATTATCATAATGCATTAGATACTTAATAATTTAATCAAAATATACTCCCTCTATTTTTTTTTTGAATTTTAACATTATGTTATTAATCATCGATTATAGAAAATATAAAGAGCGACTTCATATTTCTATCCAGATTGCGCATAAATATTTAATTTTTAATCTAATTTACATTAGAATTAAATTACCCTATATTTCATAAAATAAACAAGAATATTTTGTCAATATTACAGCATAATGTTATAAACAACTCATATAAAATAAATTGTATTTTGTTATATGATTTTAAAATTATACTATATTAAATAAATAATTATTATTTTACTCCGCACAGGGTGCGGATTATTACCTAGTACAATTATATTTTCGAGTACTTTAGAGAGCCTAATCAGTTTTTGGTTAGATAGAAATAACCAAAATATTTTAAACAAGGAATCATTCAGATATTTATGAACATGCAGCTTGGGTTCAGTACCTTCCAATTCAGTTTGGGTTCGATTTTTCCGTTTCCGCTAATTTGCCAAGCCTAGATAGTAATATACTAATATGTTGATTTGAGTTACAACAACATCAGTTCTTATGGTACCTGATACTTTAACAGATAAACATGAAAGATCTAGGCAGTGCGTTGCAGATGCAGAGCGAACCAGTGCGGATTCAAACGTCAAAGAACACATTGGATCTAAGAGGAATGAGAGCAGAAGAAGCAATTCACCAGCTAGACATGGCCATCTCGGGAAGAGACTCAGGTTCGATCCTCTTTATCGTTCACGGAATGGGGTCAGGCGTTATAAAGGAGCTTGTGCTTGAGAGGTTAAGCAAGAACACTCGTGTCTCAAGGTATGAGCAGTCAAATCCTATGAACCATGGTTGCACAGTTGCTTACATTAAATGACAATTTCTTAAACATATTTCTTTTTTGTAAACCTTCTTGGACAGTGTGTTGTTATGGGTTCAACAAATAGTTTCGATTGTGAATTAACATTCAAGTGTTCAAGAATTTATACAATGTATATTTCTTGATGTTGTACTGAAGAAATGACGAGTTTTCTTTTCCCATAAACTAACAAATTGATTATCAATGAATGTCCATAAATGGCTTGTGCAGTAAGAATTCAGTTGGTAAAGTCAATATTGAGGAAGAAGAGAGTATAAGCAAAATATTATTACATTCATAGCAATAAAACGAGAAACCCCGCTGGACAAACAAGAGTCTTATTGTGAGCTTCATAATTTGCTTTTACTTTTTTGACATCAGCTTCAATAGCTTGCTAGGAGTTTTGTTTCATGTTTAAGATGGTCTTTCTCCTGATTTGTTGTTTTTTTATAATAGTATTGTGGAATTTCACTAGCTAACTTAGTGAATACTATATCTTTTGATGGAGGCATGAACATATACATATGTGGACAATGCAAGAGCCACACAAAAAAGGTACTATAATTACAAGTGTTTAATCCAAAGTGATTTCAGAACGAATAACCTAATAAAAAGTGAATTAAAAAAATAAGAAAAAAATAAGAAATTTCTCTTCATTCCTTAAAAATTTACAATTTGCTAGTAATAATATTTTCTCATCATTCGTTTTTATTTCTTATCATATAAAGAATTATAGAACAAATATATTTTTTATTAAATTTGGGAAGAAATAAAATATATTTCTTTATATATATTTTATTCTTATTTATTTTTTATTTTATTTCTTTTTTAATTAATTACTATATTTAAGCTATAATCAATACAACAAAACACAAGTGTCTCTCCTGGTGAAGACACATCAGCATTTTAGAACTTTTTAAAGATAGCACTTCAGCAAAAAAAAATATCACTCAAAATATTTTATTAATACACATCATCAACTAACTTTTATTATTTTTAACTTAAACCTATTAAAACCCCAAATATTTTTTTTGTTAATTTTTGTTTTTTTTTCCCCAAACCCAAGCCCAAATAATAAATAACAGCAAATAAAAAAATTGTTTTATTTTTTACCATCCCAAATCCAAATAATAAATAACAACAAATAAAAAAAATTATTTTTTTTATATATTTTTACCAAACCGAAACTTAAATAATAAATAATAGCAAAAAAAATTAAAATTGCTAACTATGTGTTTGCTTGATAGAGACGTATATGATTGAAGAAAGTGTAGACTCATCATCAACTATGCTTCCATAACAACAACGCAAAAAGCATTATGTTATAAGAAGCTCACACATCAGCAAAAATCTAAACCAATAAAAACATAAACACAATACATATCATTAATACATTAATAAAATCAGTTTACTATTTTGCTGACCCGTTAGAAAGCCCAAAGTTTACTAAAAAAATGGAAGTAAGCAAATGAGGAAAAGCTCAGACCACCACAGCTTGGAGATTCGCATTTCTGGTGGTTACCGAGAACAAATATTTTTAGGTTTGGTGGGAATAGAGAATTTCTTGGTTTCAGTAGGAAAATGTGATTTTTAATTTTGGTAGGAAAACATAATTTCTCGGTTATGGCGGAAAAAAGTGAATTCTTGGGTTTGGCGAAAAAATGTGAATTTTTGGTTTTGGTGAGAAAAAAAATTTTGAATTTGACGTGAAAACAAAATATCTTTTAGTTTTGACGAGAAAATGCGATGAAAATGCAACTTTCCAATTTTGACGAGAAATACGATTTCTCGGTTTTGATAAGAAATACAAATTTTTGGCTTTTGATGGATAATGTGATTTTTTTATTTTTGCGGGAAAATGTGACTTCTTAGTTTTCGCGGGAGATTGTAATTTGACAATTTTGGCGAACGATGCAATTTTTTTATTTGATGGAAAAACAAATTTTTTTGATTTTGACAGGAATAAACAAGTTTCTGGTTTTGATGGAAAATGTAAATTTTTAGTTTTTGACTTACAATGTGATTTTTTGGTTTTTGCAGGAAACACAAATTCTCAGGTGATAATGCAATTTTTGGTTTTCGTGGAAAATTCGGTTTTGGTAGGAATGCGTGATTATTGGTTTGACAAGAAAATATTTTTACTTTTTGTTATGGCGGAAATAGACGATTTCTCAGTTTTTGCGGAAAATAATTTTTCTGGTTTTGACGGGAAAATATATTTTTTTAGTTTTTGCAGAAAGATGCATTTTTTTGGTTTTGGTGAAAAAACTTGATTTCTCTGTTTTGGCGGAAAAACACAGGTTCTCGCGGGAAAATGTGATTTTTTTGTTTTTGCGGAAAAATGCAATTTTTTTGTTTTGGTAGGAAAATGAAATTTCAGGTTTGATGAAAAAATGATTTTTTTTTTGTTTTGGCGGGAATATACGATTTCGCAGTTTCGTGTAAAAATATGTTAGCTATAGATAATTAGCTAAACACAATTGATAGTAGATTATAATTAAGAAAAACAAAAAAATTAAGAATATATAAATTTAGATTTAAAACATATAAATACATAACTTAAGCTAATAATAAATAAATATAATACTCATTTACATTATAAAAATAATTTTATTATATTAAAAATTTATACAAAATTTTTGAAAAATATCTTGCAGCATAGCACGAATAAATATTTAATATACATGAATACATGTGGACTCTCTCTAATTGCTTAACATGTCAGCATAAAAGAATAGGACACTT